GTAAGATGTTGAATGCCTTGACAATGAAACCTTCTATTTTTGATAATATTAGAGAAAGTCAGTTGGGAGACTCGAAGTTGAAGGCAATAAAAGAGAAGATTGAGAAAGGGCAGGTTTTAGACTTTACTATTGCAGATGAGGGAAGTATTCGCTTCAAAGGGAGATGGTGTGTTCCACAACATCGTGGGGACATCAAGAAGAGACTGATGGAGGAGGCCCATAGCTCTCCTTATTCAATGCTTCCTGAAGGGGATAAGTTGTATAAGGATATGAAGAAGGTCTTTTGGTGGCCAAACATGAAGAAAGAAGTAGCAGAGTTTGTGGAAAAATGCTTAACATGCCAGAAAAGTGAAGATAGAGCATCGAAGACCACAAGGAATGGTTCAATCCTTGGAATTACCAAAGTGGAAGTGGGATTCGATCGCCATGGATTTTATAGGGGCATTACCAAGGACCAGGGCAGGGAATGACACGATTTGGGTCATTGTGGATCGATTGACCAAGTCTGCAACCTTTATACCTATGAAAAACACTTGGTCTATGGATCAGTTAGGAAGGGCATATTTGAAGTTTGTGGTGAAGTATCATGGAGTGCCTACAAATATCATTTCAAATCGTGATTCGAGGTTCTTGTCTAACTTTTGGAAAAGTTTGCAAAAGGCCATGGGAACGAAGTTGCTGATGAGTACAACTTTTCACCCTGCAACTGATGGTCAAACTGAAAGGACCATCCAGACCTTGGAGGACATGATGAGAACATGTGTATTGGAGTATCAAGGTTCATGGGAAGACCACTTAGACTTTATTGAGTTTTCATATAATAATAGTCATCATGCAAGCATTGGAATGGCCCCGTTTGAAGCCTTGTATGGAAGGAAATGTAGAAGCCCGATTTGTTGGAGTGACATAAGTGAAACTGTTGTACTTGGGCCTGAAATGATCGAGGAAACTACTAAGCAAGTGAAGTTGATCCAGGAGAAAATCAAAGCAACCCAAGATAGACAGAAAAGCTATGATGATGAGAAGCGCAGGATGTAGAATTCCAAATAGAAGAGAAGGTGTTGCTGAAGATATCTCTTATGAAGGGGGTAATGAGATTTGGTAAGAGGGGAAAGTTGAGCCCAAAGTACATTGGGCCATATGAGATTCTTCAGAAAGTTGGGAAAGTAGCATATAAGTTGGACTTACCTAACGAGTTGGAAAGGGTGCATAATGTTTTTCATGTGAGCCAGATTCGCAAGTATGTTCCTGATGTTGCACATGTGCTAGAACCATAGATAATTGAGCTAGATGAGAGTTTGACCTATGAAGAAAGACCGGTGAGAATTTTAGATAGTAAAGTTAGAAGCACCAGAAACAAGGATGTGAAGATTGTCAAGGTTCTATGGTCGAACCATAAGGTTGAGGAAGCAACTTGGGAGGCTGAGGCAGAAATGCGTAAAAAGTAACCTAACCTTTTCATGGTGAGTGGTTAAGTTACGGGGACGTAACTTCTTTTTAAGGGGGGGGGGGGTAGAATGCAATAGAGTTTCGCGCTTTCCTTTTTATGTCTTTATTAAGTGAGTCTTTTGAGTAAAGTATTTAGGTTGTGCGTGAACTTACTAAATTTTAACCAATTTAAGATAATTTAGAGTATTAATTCGAGTTATTAAATAATTTTAAGTTTCGGGACGAAACTTCTTTTAAGGGGGGTAGACTGTAATACCCTGATTTTTTAGAAAATATTTTGGAAAGTTATTAAATTATTTAATTTGGAGCCAAAATGAATGTTAAATTTTGGCGCCAAATACAAGTATTTAATCATTTGAATAATCAATTATTTTCGGATTTCTAAATTAATAATATAGGCTTAATTATCTTTTAAAGGTCGGCTTATATTTTATACTAGCAATTTCAAGAGTTTGTAAAGATAATATCTAATATGATTTACAACTAACTTAGTTTTATTATTATCTAAAATATTTATATTTGTTAATTACTTATTTAAGTATGATTTTCATTTATTTTTTTTTAAAAAAAAGAAGAAGAAGAAGAAGAAGAAGAAGAAGTTGGCCGTGTGTTTGAGATTTTTATCTTCAACCTTAATTCCTTAAGTGATATAATCTCCTAATTTACCTTCCTATCTTATTTCTTTAACCAATTAACACCTATCTTATTTTTTTTCTCTAATATCTTTCATTTTTTACACATAAATTAACCTAGACTAAATGGCATTCAACTTCATTTAACTAACCAAACTTATCTGGTTTTCACACTAATCCTATACCTTCTTGAACTCTATCTTTTCCACCCTTAAACACTATAAATAAACCCTCAACCCTTCACAAATTCCTCACACCAAAAATCAAAAAACTCTTTACTCTACTCTCAATCTCATGCCCTCTTCTATTCCCTTCTTGTTTGATTAAACACCGCAACCGCAACCAAGTATTGCCACCACCCTAGCCGCCTCCTTACTGTCGCCGGAAACAACTTGCCGCTGCCGTCCTTGCTTGACGCTATTTGCTGCCAGTAAGGTGCAATACACACCTTCCCTCCTTACCCCTTGCCAATATATATACATACTACTCTTCATATTCCCTTACTTATCATAAATTATTATTATTATTATTATTATTATTATTATTATTATTATGTTTTCTAATACCCATTTATGATACTAACAATACTATTTTGATACGAAGATTGTTATTTTGATACTAAAATAACTTGTTAATAAGACTTGATCTTATAAAGGTTAATATTTAGGTAGTCCATGCACAAATAGGGTATTATTTATAGTTTTGTGTCAGTTTTGTTAACCTTATATTAATTAAGGTTATTTTAATTGTGCAGGAGGAGTCCCTCGATCGTGGTCAAGTTTAGTGATCGTACCTTATTTGTTCTCGTGATCAAGGTACGTATAGGTGGCTAGGTCCTTGATACAATTTTGAATGCGTGTTTGGTAAATGTTTGTTTTAATGATTATACATATGAATATTTAAGTTAATGACTTTTATGACGAGTTAAAATATATGATTTTATGATTTAAAGGTTTGATCTCTAAAAGCGTTTATTGATTTAATAAACGTTGGTTTAATTTATAAATCATTTGATTGAGTTAATCTAAAATTTACAGCTCATTATGAGCCTGAGTATTTGATATTTTAATTGGCCCTCTACCCGGGACTGGTTAAGTAAGACCATGAGCTTTGTATGATCTGGTCTTTCCTCGAGTATAGTATAACTTGCTTGGGGGGTGTGCACACTTAGGTGAGGAAAATTGGTTTGGAATTATATTTTAAAATTGGAAGTTTATAAATTGAAAATCTATTGGTTTAGAAAGCTTTGATTGATGAAAATTACTACCCTTGGAAGGTTCAATTTTAGAAAGTCTAATTTTGAAAATGACTTGTGACAAGTTAAATGGTTATTTCGAAAACATGTTTGACTAATAAAAGTATTTACATGCCTTGCACTTATACGTACTTAGCATTTGTGCTAATCCGTTTTCCTTTTTGTTTTGGTTCGCCCTGTTTACCATTTTTGGTAAGCAGTCTTGGTTTCAGGTGTGGAGTTGTTCGTGCGCATACTAGGGTCGGGATTGAGATCACATAGTTAGGAGTTAATTTTATTTATGTGTGGAGTTTTGATTGGATTATTTTGAAACAGTTATTATGGTTACTCAATTTATTATTAATAAAAGTTAGTTATTTTTCCGCTACAGTTTGAGTAATTAGTTAAGCCTTACGTTTTCACGTGGCGGTAATACGCCCAAGTCTATATCTACGGTATTTGTATACGTACAACTATAGTATTTACGTAGAAGGAGATTTGGGGGTGTTACATATGCCGCTTGTCCTTCGAAGAAGGCAGGCTGGATGTAGGGCAAAGTACGCGACCTGTATAATGGATGTGTCATATACTGCGCTGAATTAATTACATAGGGCCCCGACTGTACGAGGGGGCCGCTTGACGGGGTCCCTTGTATGGATTGAGAATTCCTCATAGAGGTATTCTGAAAGCTATCATGATAAGTCGACGTAGATGCCGACTCTGACAATTGTTGGGTCTTCTTCTGCTCGATGTACTGTTGAGCATCAGAAAATGTTTTCTTGCTACCATCCGGCTGTACATGCCGGATGGCTTTTCTTGTCACCGATTCTGAAAGCTATCATGATAAGTCTTGAAAGGTCGAACTGGGGTCGAGCCTTCTCCTTTGTAGCAGGATGAGGGGTCGGCTGACGGTCCAGGACCGACTTCTGTTTTCCAACTTGAGCTGGTTTTGTGGCCGACTGTTCCTTTCTAGGAGCAGCCGACCGCTTGTTGATTAAATCCTTAATTTCACCTTTGAGGCTGCTCATGAATTTCATGAGTTCAACTCGGGTGACTGGGGCTGACCCTGTCGCCTGGGAAGGATCAGTCGGCTGCCCTGAGGGCTTACTTGACCGTCCAGGGGGTAAAACTTGTGGAAAATAAGTTATCTGCTCGGATTCCAAGCTCAGGTGTTCTTTGTTTTAGAGAGCAATAGATGTCTTAATGATTAAGACGTAAAGTTTGAGGTGTCAAAAGACTGTCCCAATAATTGGGGGAACTTCCCTATTTATAGGATCCTAAGAAAATGTGCCCTACTTTAGGGTTTGATGACCTAGGGATTAGGGCAGCGCTGTTTTGCGGCGCCCTTGGAATTTGGGCCTTGAACGCCGCCATTTCCAGGGGGCGTATCCAAGTGACACGTGTCACCCCTCTGGGGAGTCCAATTGGACGCCTCTTAGAGGGACACGTGTCGCTCTCTTATTGGTCCACATAGGGGTATTAAATACCCCAAATCAAGTTCAATTCAGTTTAGTTTAGTTTAATTCAGTAAATATGAACAGGCCCTAATTATGTGAATAAAATGATCCGAATCGGCTAAGTCCGATTTAGAGCTCAGTTCTAATAGTTAGATTTTACTTCCATTTCAATTGTTAGGAAATCAAATACAGCGGTGTTCCGTACCAAGTGCTGCCTAGTCACCATTGCACCAACGTCAAATTGGTATTGTTGGGTTTAGTCTCGTCTTCCCGTCCCAGGTTTAGAAGGAAATATGCCACTATGCAAAGTAGGTCTCCAACATGTTTTACTAACTCTTTGTTTTGCAGGTTAAGTGGCTTTAAAAGAATAGCTTCTTATCCCACTGAGTATACTTGGTTTCCTAAAAGTAAGAAGTTGTATGGTCCGACCCCCAATGTTCTATCATGTATTTCTGTTTTCTGTACTTAGTTTAGGTTGTAATAATGCTTTTCATTAATAGTACTCTTTGTAAAAAAAAAAAAAAAAAAAAAAAAGTTCAAAGAACATTCACTACTTCTCCACCCGTACAACCCTCACACAACATGATTCATCATCCCTTCCAATTTTGATTCTCTAATACAACTAAAACAACACGCAAGCGTGAAATTGTATCATCAAACTTGGCGCCTTTCAAGTTTCAATTTCATTTCAAATAGTCGATAGCAAAAACCCAAATTTGCAATTCCAAAAACACACAGAACCCTAGGATATCAAACTAAGGAATTGAGTTTTCTTTAGAAGACCCAAATGATATTGAGAACACCACCTCCAAGGAAACGCAGGGCCGAATCCATTCCTCCAGAGGATGATTCTCCCGCGGGCCGCCTTGTCATCTACGAGGATCCTCCTTCGCCGCAACCCGAATCTTCTCCTCTTCCTTCCGATCATCTGCTTTGCACCTATCAATGCCGTCAAATGGTATTGGTTTTTAGTGGAGTATATAACTTTGTTTGTTTTGTCAAATTATATGGGGTTTTTATTTGCTTGATTTTATAGTTGAAGCAATTGTTAGTACTATATACCAACAATTGCATAAAGAAATCAAAATGGTTGATGCCATTTCATATTTTTCTAGTGAGTAGCCTATTTTTATTTGCTTGATTTTATAATTGAAGCAATTATTGTTATATATTCCTCCTATATACCAACAATTGCATAAAGAAATCAAATGTAATGTTGATTTTCATGGTTATTGCCAATTCATAATCTCCTAGTGAGTAGTGTGTTTACCAACTTTGAGGTAATAGTAGGATACGAAATGTTCATCATTGCCTTAGCTTATTTGAATAATATATGCTCCTTGGTCCGGATTTAATAGTCACATACGGAGTACATTGTTTTAGTATGTTGAGATAAAATTTTACATTTTGTAGAATATGAATAAATTTTTGGTACATAACCCTTCCCTGAGTAGGAGAGAGATGGAATTTGACAATTTGTGTGACGTATTTTAGCGAGTTTGTGGTGAAACCAGAAGGTTGCAATATGACTGATTGACTATAAGTTCCAGAAGGTGGAACCGTGGAAGTAGTAATAGAAGTCACTTTTCGGTTGCATACTTGTTTGTCTTGGTCTTTTATAGTTTGTAAATTTAGCCGTTGATGGTTTTACAAATTGATCGTGTACTTATAATAGTCTTGTATTGTCTTGCAGGTTAAAGCCGAGCTTTTGGATAATTATGCTAGCATGGAAAAAACAATTGCTGAAAATCAGTCCAAATTAGCGACATTGAACGAGAACCTCTTGACAGCAGGTAGTTTATGAGAAATTTTATTTCAGCAACATATTCTATGATTGAACTCTTTTATATTCTGAATAAAAGTTGAGCTTCATATTAACTTCTTTTTGGCTTTCGAGTCAAATAATATGGTTCCTTCGTATGGCATTATTGTTAGCTATAGAGATGGAATTGGTTAAAAGAACATTTTGTGATTATGTCTGCTCATAATATCATTTCAGAAGAAGAAGGGAAGAAATATCGAGATCAATTCCTGTATGCCGAGCAGGAGCTTGCTGCTGCTAGAGGCCGTGAGCAGTCACTGCAGGATAAGCTCTTGAAGGAGATCAAGGAATCTCAGGAGCGACTGACGAAACAAATACAACAATGCAATGAACTTGAGGCGAGTACTAACTTAAGATATAGGGGTTGTGATCTAATATGCTTGTGTTTTTGTAATTTAGTTTTTACTTGCTTGAGATGGTTTAACCTGTAATACAAAGAAATAAAGAAGACAAATTTTAGTACAATGAGATATAAAACTTACCTTAATGGTATTAACCTTTGAGCTCTTTTTTTGGTTTTTGGGATTGCATTTCAGGTTAAGCTCCAAAAGGAAGAAAGCCTGCGCAGAAGTTCAGAATCTTCAGCAGCTGCTGCTGAAGAGAAAGCTAACCGTTTAGAGCGGAAGCTAAACCAGCTTTCAGACAGCACAGAAAGAGAAAAGAATCATTTACAAGACGAACTCAAGCATTTGAAAGGAGATTCAAAGCTTTCTATGTCTAGGTTAAGGGCTGAAGTGAGTAGAAATGATGGATTTACATTGTTCCTTTTAAAAATCTATAACATATATTTATCATGTTTCCTCCTAATCTCTTTTGATTTTTTTTTTTTTTTTTTTTAAAGCTTGAAAGAGCGCAATTTCAATCTAGTAATGCTGTAAAGGAGTCAGAGCAGTTAAAGGAGAAGCTGGAAGATGTTAGCAAACAGCTCAATAAGGTTGGAAGAATTTTTTGAATTTTTTTTTAACTTCATGTCATCCCATAGGTGTCATTCTAGCTGAAAGGGGCTTACTGCACTCCTTTTTTTTTTTTTTTTTTTTTTTGGGAAATTTTGTTAAGATCTACCAATTAAACGTGTTTTGAAAACAATTACCTATTAAAAATTTCTTTTAAAAGAACTACCACAAAATTGTAAAAAAAATTAAGTAGCACTACCACTCTAATAATTCCATCTAGAATATTTGACATGTAGGTTCCACTTTTTACCTTTACCTCATAAAATTACCATGTAAATTGACTAAATTACCCTTCATAAAGGTAAAAAGTGAGACCCAAATGCCGAAAATTTTAGCCAAAATTATTAGAGTGGTAATGCTACTTAAACTTTTTACAACTTTTTGATAGTTTTTTTTTTAAAAAAATTTAAAAGTTAGTTTTCAAAACACATGCTTTAATTGGTAGTTGTTGACAAAATTTCTATTTTGTCTGCAGTAATGGATTTTTTGTGATTTAGAATATGGGATCAGGTGGAGTTTTTAGCCTCTCTTTAGAATTTAGACACATCTAATGGGATTATTTATGTCATATCCTTTTTGATGCATTGTGAGATTGGATTTTGTTTTTTTTATCTCTTTGTCTATATCTGCCTCCAGAGTATGATGGACTCCTAGTTCCCTTTTGTAATTTCAGTCTCATATTAATAGAATTGTATTTCTTAACTTATTTGTGTGTGTGTGCGTGTGTGTATTTTTTATATCTATTGAAATTTGCAATATGGTAACCATTATCCTCTTCCTTGAATTAGTTGAGGTTCTATAAAAGATTAAATTTTTGTATTGAAATTGCTATTGAAATGCTTCATAATTGATTTGTAGACTATGTAATAAAGATCAAGAATAAAGGACTAAACAGCCCCAATAAGAAAGTGTAGTGTTTTACTTGTATATATTAAAAGAGTTTATTATGTAGTTAATAACTTGCTTTAGTGGAGTCCAACTTGTGATTTTCAGGAGTGTGGTGGCATGGCCTTGTGTTTCTATTCTTTGAATGTTTTTTTTCAAAAGACTCCTTTTCTCTTCTATACTTTTAATTTATAGTATGTTGTGTAATTTGCAGTGTTTGCAAGAGAAGAATGGGCTAGAAACAAAAATATCAAGCTTTACATGCCCAGAGGAGGGTTCTAGTTCTTCTCAGCATGATGTCTTAGTGAAGCATTTGCAGGAGGAGCTAAGAAATTATGTATGTGTAGTGTATTTTAAAGTCATTTCTTGTGCATTTTGCTTTTATTACATGTATAGGACTTCAAAAGTCAAGAATTTTGTCTCATCAAAAGAATTATTGGTAGATTTTGGTAGGAAGGGGGAGGGGCTGGGGCTGCAGGGTAGCTTGGAAATTCTGCAGCTTTAGTTTTACCTGCAAGATGTGGATCAGGCTTGTTCTCTTAAATACATTAAAAGTTGTAGGGACTAACGAGTTTTAGCGTTTTTAGGCCTTCTGTCAATATTGCTTTAGTTAAATGGTGAATCCTTTTCTTTAACTGGTTAAGCTTGGGCAGAGATGGAGTCGTAAGATATTTTAGTTAGTGCTTCTTTTGTTGCGAACTGATTTGGGGTTTGATGGGTGTCACAGCTATAAGACTTGTCAGTGATAATAAAGGACATATTGGGAAAGAAGAAAGATGGATTAAGAATAGCAATTGGAATTTCTGATGGATTATATTTTAGTGGTTCTCTAAATAATTAATCGAGTGGAGTTCTCTGATGACATGAGCAATTGGGTAGAATATGGTTCCTCGTAATTGTGAATGTTTTATGAGGGCTTTGACTTTTCTTTTTTATTTTAATATCTAAATATACAAGGGAAATAATTTGTCGAAAGAGATCAAGGCTAGTATTAGTCAGTCGTGTAGTTGTTGCCTCATTTCCATTATTCAATTGTATGTTCTAAAGATCTCATCATGACCACCTGTACTGGTGTTTGGTTGCTACACCTCTGGACCTGCAGGCTCAGCATGACCATGTCTATTTGCAATGTTTGTATGTCCTCCATCTTGAAAGTACCATGCAGCTTTATCTTTTTGAAGCCCTTTTTTGCTGCACCTAGGTTAAATTATAGTTTTCTCCTCTTTTCTGTTCCTATAGCAACTTAGTTTTAAAAAGCGCGCCTAGGTGCAAGGCTCACAAAAGCGCAGGTCATGGCGCTTTAACCATTGCAGGCGCAAGCACCTACTGAAATCGCGCGCCTTACTGCGCCTCATACCGTCTTTGCCAAGGCGCAAGGCGCTGCGCCTAGGCCGCTTTATGTTCAAACGCGAGAGAAAGAGGAGATTTGAGTTGAATTAATAGAAGGAGACCCAAAAAAATTCAAATTAAATCTTACCCAGACTTTGTTTACATTTTCGAGTAAATCCCCTCAATCAATTGCATGAATAAGCATCGATTTTACCCCAAAATAAAAAACCCTAAATATGAGAAACCCTTATTCGCGAATTGTGAAATAATTGGGAAATTAGTTGTTGCTGCTGCAACAGAAGTTGCCGGTGAGCTTTTCCGGTGGATCCCGACACCGGAAAAGTCGCCACCTTGCCGGCAAAATCTCCCAGGTTAGTCTCTTTCTTTGATCTTTTTTATTTCTCTTCCTTCGATCTTTTTTTTTTCCTATCTTCATCATTCCCTTTTGTCCACCTTTTCCTTTCCTGTTTTCTTTGCTTTTTTTTTTTTTATTTTCCTTTTTTCTTTAAGGGATCATTTAAAACATATATCCTCATTTCTGATTTTTTATAAAAAAGTTTTTTTTTTACAAAAAAGAATCAGGTTTTAAAAATAAATTTGCTTTTTTAAAAGTCGGTATTAATAATACAAGTGAGTTTTTTTAATCAGTTTTTAAATTTAAATTAAATAGGAGGTTTTTTATTATTTTTTTTTTTTAAATTAAACAAATTTAGTTTCACATATTTAATACCAAGAAAGCAGTTATTAAATATAAAAATTAAAAATAAAAATATTTGCCCCTCTTATACAAAAGGCGCGCCCCTGCGCCGTGCGCCTAGGCTCTGGGGACCCTTTGCGCCTTGGTGCGCCTCGTGTCTTTTATAACCAAGTATAGCAACCTAGATAGCAGAGAAACTGTTACTGGTGGATCCAATTTTTGGTTGCCCTTTTGTTGCCTTAATTTTTTGTAAGAGCAGAGGAGAAATCCATAGTTTTTAACTCTTCTTCATGTGCTGTATTATTGTTACGAGTGTTAATAGAATTGAGCAGCAGAATTTACTGTTGGTGGCAGCTTATGCGCTACGTTGCTCAGACCCAGGTACCCAATTCTGACACGTACACATGTCCAAGAGTCGACTCAACAATTTTATGAATTTTTTTCAGGATTTTGGTCATAGAGTTAGAATACGACACGTACTTTAATTAAAATATTAAGTCTGAATAACATAGCTTATAAGGGTAAATAATTGAAGAAAGTAACAACAAAGCCTTAGTCTGTTATGGATTCAGCTAGGGGTAAGGCCCAGCCCATCAAGGTTTATTCAAGGAGGCCCAAGTCAGGAGTGCACAAGGTTCAACAAGGAGGAACAAGTAACCGTTTGATAGAAGGAGTCAACGATGGGGACATCTAAGGGAGTCAACATCAACAAAGAGAAGAGACAAATATCATAAAGGATTTATTAGGGAAAGTAGCAGTAGTAATTTATATGTCTTATTTTGGTTGTGCTATTTTTATGTCTAATTGTCACATATATCTCTTTAGTCATGGAGTAGCTTTGGATTAGTAAGAGAGGAGGGCAGTAAGTCAAGTATCCAGAAATTAAGTAAGAACTTCTTTGAGAGTAGTAGCCTAAAGCTACCATGAGATTTATGGCCTCAAGCCATTGACTATCCCTGTAATCGTAAGTTTCCATTAATCAATTGACAACCAAGCTTTCCCTTAATTGCTGTCATTAGTAGTGTAAATTGCTGTGATAAACCGGTGCTGTATTATTGTTACGAGTGTTAATAGAATTGAGCAGCAGAATTTACTGTTGGTGGCAGCTTATGCGCTACGTTGCTCAGGCCCAGGTACCCAATTCTGACACGTACACATGTTCAAGAGTCGACTCAAAAATTTTATGATTTTTTTTCAGGATTTTGGTCATAGAGTTAGAATACGACACGTACTTTAATTAAAATATTAAGTCTGAATAACATAGCTTATAAGGGTAAATAATTGAAGAAAGCAACAACAAAGCCTTAGTCCCAAAACGATTTGCGGTAACATGAATTGCCATAAGTTACCGTCAATTGATCGAAGAAAAATGATTGAATAAAACCATTAGGGGTCTTGCAGTAACCCTTTTTGCGAGAGATTAGTGGTTAATATTATTTTTTTAATACTCTATAGACAGAAGGGCGCTTGATCACTGGTCTTTCCTGAAATTCCTTACTCAATCAAAGTGAGGCTAGTGTAGTGTTTCATTGTATTCTTGGTCCCTGGAGGATTGACCGTACATTGTCTTAGAATTTCATTTGATTTTTTTTTTTTTCTTAATCTAAGATAACAAGTGGTGCTTTGGATATGTGTGTTTATGAGGCTGGTATAGTGTTTCTTTCTTGTAGCTCTTATCTGTTTGTAGTTCCTGAGGAGTATATTGTTGTGGGTTCTCTAATTTTTCTGCTCAATATTATTTGAACATCACCTAAATTGGGGATTTGGGGGTGGGGTGAAGAAAGTAAAATCATAGATAAAAGGGTGTTTTGAATGTTATTGTGTCACGAATAAATCTTTAACACAAAGCCAGAAGTGTTAGAGATTCTTTGCATTTAGATAAACTCTTTCATTGTGTGTATAAAGTCGAGGCTTCAGGCATTGGTCTCATTGCCTTTTTGTTGTCAGCTTTTTCTGCTTGTTATCTGTTGATAACTCGACATGTTTGGTATTGATTCTCACCTGATCTCTTTATTTTTGGTTCTGTACATTAATAGGAGTGTGAAGTGCTTGAGGCAAGGAAGTTGAAAGCATCTCATGAGAACATCGAGCTGTTGAAGGAGAAGCTCATAGAAGAAAAAAGGTGGAGGGAAAGGGCAGAGGCAGATCTAACTATGTTACAAGAGATTCAGTTAAGTATGAATGTACTGGAGGATGAATTGGCTTCTTGGAAGAAAATCTTGAAAGAAATTCCCGGAGTTGAATCTTCCGATGATGTCCCCCTTAAGTTTGTTGCTCTACAGAAGTATGTGCCTAAACTTGCAGCACAATTTTGATTTCTATCTTGTTCAATACATAATTTATGGAAATATGAAGTTAAAACCCTTGGAATTCTAGAATGGCCAAGTACATATGTTTTCTAGTTGCAAACAAAGGCTTTTCTTGCTAAGTTCTCAATAGTTCAGTAGTCAAATTTGAAAGAAAAGCTTCATTAAGTATATTATTGTATGCTTGGAAAATAAGAATTCAATGGAAATTACTACCTCCATTTTCTTAATGTTCTTTACAGTTTCATTCTTGACACTATTCACAACTTACACTTTGACCATCTTCAGTAATTTACTAATTTATACTCCCTCCTTTTATAAATACTTGCTCCATTTCTCCAGGGCACGCATGTCGATGCTAATCTTTGATCAATAGTATTTTTAATTATCAATAAATATAACAATTGAAAATTAATAACCTATTCATTAAGATGATTCCAAAAAGTACCCACAAGACTATCTTTTCTTATGTATAAATCACAAACATTAGTCAAAGAGGACAAATGAATTGTACAAAAAGTTGAAATGAATAGTGCAAAAAGTATTTAAAAATAGAGGGAGTACAAAAGGATTTTAAGGAAGAATGTATTCATGTGTGGTCTTGTAAGATTCGTCTTGTTATGCACTTTCGGGATCAATTTTTTCATCTTTGTAACAAATACGTACAATTTTTTCATCAATTTGTCTACTTATCCATCAAGACATAGAGTTGCTTATCTTATAAAAAGGTTTTGATGAACACTGGATATGTGCTGTATATGTATGGAATCAAATCAAGGCTGTTTAGTTACTTGAAGGTCTTCGTATAAAAGATTCTCAGATTAGTGTTATTGTGAAAAATTTCTGGCACATGTGTTTATTGAAATCATGTGCCTTTGTTAATCCATTATGGTCCATTATGTTACTGCTATATTTTGTATGTTTAAGTATAGTTAGTGTTTACTTTCATTATTTAGGCACTGTAAACGTTGAGTACCCTTTTTTTTCCAGTGACTAATATAAAATTATAAGGTCCTATGAAAAGTGTGCTCTTAAAATTCAACAAGTATGTTTCCAACATTCATTTGGTCAATAAAGTGGAATTTCTCCAATTTGTAAATCCATGCCACAATTGCAGTAAAGCTGGCTGTAACACCTTTGAGATGCTGCTTCTATGACACTGACCATTACTGCGATCCTCCCGATAGTTGTGATATTTTATAAACATGAGCACAAGTTTAGATGAAGCTGGACTTTGGGATGTGCCTCTTATGTATCTGCCTTATCTATCTAATTTGTCCATTTGTGCTAATAAGCGTGCCACAGTATGTCATGATTTCATGCTGAGTGCTTTTTTGGTAATACAGGGAGGTGATAGACGGCATGTCAAAGCTAGGAGAGGCAAACACACGCTTGAAACAACTTGAGATAGCTCTGGAGGGTGCTGAGTCTGATAAGAAATATGTTGAATCAGAAACAGCATTAGCTAAGGAGAGGGAAGAATCATTGAAGTTAGAAATTAAGGAACTAAAATCGAAAGTATGTTTTACTGTATTTCTTTCCTCTGATTTGCTTTTAAGGACTTCTATCCTTTAATCAGATTGTCTGTTAACTAAGATTTTTTGCTTGCCCAAATTTCAATGAATCTTTTAGTTTTCAGTTGATTGATTGTTGGTTAATTGGTCTACTGATGTAGAGTTACATGTGGTCGTTTCGTAAGAGGTTATTTTGAGCAAGAAAAGTTTGTGAATTAGAGTTCTAGACTAGACTACATTTAGAATCTGGGAGACATTTTACCTCTGCTTATACTGTTGCCCCTTGTGCTTTATGCAGTTTCTCTTAAGTGCTCTTGTCAAAAAGTAAAGGAAATAAAAGAAGTCTAATATATTATAATTGGAATGAGTCTAAGAGTTACTCTAGAATCCAAATAGTAAAATAATGAATTAGAGCTACCAAACCATGACTCTGAGCTTAAAGCTGTTAAACCTGACTGATAAAATTAAAATCATTTGTATGCATCTTTTTTCGTGGTCTGTCAATGCTATGATCGTAAATGAATCCTAAAAGTGAAGTGTATCTTAAGCAGCTATTTATGACAGTAGAATCTTCTTGAAATTTTTTAGAATTGGGCAATGCACTAATGCTATATCTGATTGTAAAGATAATGAGGAAACAAATAGGCCTATGCTTAGCACAGCCTGAATGTTGCAGCCCACCATCTTGTTACTACAAGAGCTGAGTATCATATGTTAAATTCTAGGATTTTTGTTCAGCACTAATGCGCAGCACTAAAAGTTACAATAAGGTATAAGTCTTAACAGAATCACTGTGAATAAAGGTTCTACTATGAAAGGAACTACATTTTGTAATCAGGGAAATAATTTGTTTGTACAAAGATTTTATGAATTAGAAGATTAATCCCCAAATTTATTATGAATTACTTTAATTGCTTTGAATCTTGAAAATTGAGTGAAACTCGAAAACCTCTGTCACCTGAGCCCAAAAGGAAGCTATATAAGTTACTGTATCCTACAGAAAAGATGAATTCTAAAATGATGCTCAAGTTTGGTTCTAACCACTTATATGGATGCACCATTGAATTGATATAAAAGCGTTGTGGCATAGCAATCTCCTCTCCATAGCCAGTTCCAGACTTTTCAAGCTGCATTTGCAACAGATATGCTATAATTCAGGGGCAAGCTGAAGATTCCACAATCCCCATGCACTGCACTTAAACATGAAAGAAGACTTGCGTATATAGTATCACTATTGGACTCTTCATTTCACCTTAAATTAGTGTCTAACCATAGGACATGCTGATAATGTATAAGTTTTAGCACTAGGGAATCCTATTTAGTCTCATAAAAGGCTTGCCATCAATTAGATTGAGATGTTGGTGTCTGAGTTTTTACTTGGAAAAGATTTTCGTGTCTGCGTGAGGTTTGCATTTTCTATTTGTTGTACATTAAATACTTTTCATTGGTTTCCTTTCCGTCTTATTTACCCTATTTAGCAATTATGACTTATCCTTTGTTCTTATTTTCATTTGAAAAATGCAGCTATCATCAGTTAATGAAGAAAGAGATCAATTAAGAACTGCTTATAATGAATTGAAACAGCAGACGAATGTAGAGCCTGGTAGTGAAGCTGTCGGGAGAGCCTTAACTCAGGTTTTTTCAGTTTCATCATTAGTTTCTAATTACTGTGCACTTGCATGGTTGTCTAATGGTAATTTATTTTATTTATGTTCTGAATTCAGGGGCTTGAATCATCTCTTGCCCAAAAAGACAGTTACATCAAAGAATTGGAGATCAATCTTAGTGAACATAAAGCAGCTGATGATCGTCATCATAACGAGATTAGGGTGCTGAATGAGAAGCTAAACAGTGAAGCACGAAAAATAAAGTCTTTAGAGAGAGAGGGTGACCGTCTTCGTTCTGATATTGCTCTTTTGGAGTCCAAAGTATGATTGCTTATTAAGAAAAAGAAAAAAAATTCTTGCTTTATAGTTTTTGTATATTCTCTACTCTAGTTGAAATTTGCCTAGTTCATTTAGGTGTTCTTGGATGTGTGTCTTGTATTGTGATAATTACATGGAAATATTTTTTTGTTGTTGCATGATTGGCCGTCTACGTTCCTCTTGAATGTTTTGTTTGATGTGGTTAGGGTAAAGTGTGTGTCCACCATCTTTTTATGAGGCATTAACATAGTCTGTTTGCTTTAGTATTAGTATTAGAAGTAGTATTAATAGTAGTATTAGTATTAATGTTAGTGTTAGAATTAGTTTTAGTGTTGGTAAAAGTATTAGTGTTAGTATTATTGTTATTGTTAGTATTAGTATTAGTATTAGGCATACTCACTTCACCTTAAAAAAATAATATACAATAAAAATTAAATTTAGTTTAGTAAAAACAAGTTCATCAGTAAAAGTAAGTTCAATTTAATAAAAATAATTTCAGTTGAGTAAACATCAGTAATTTTAAAGAAAAAATATAACAGGCAATCGGTAAAAATAATTTCAGTTCAGCAAAAATAATTTCATTTCAGTAAAAATAATTTAAGTTTAGCAAAAATAAGGTGAAGTGAACAGGGCCTTAGTTTTAGTGTTAGTAAAAGTATTAGTGTAAGTATAATATTAGTATTTGTATTAGTGTTAGTGTTAGTAAAAGTATTAGTATGAGTATTAGTATTAGTGAAGTTTAGGTAATGGAAGGAAAGTAATGACTAATGAAGGTTACAATTAGTGTTCATAAATTAATATGTCTCCATGCTAAATATGAAAACCTGTGGATGTTACCACTTTAACATAAAGGCAAAACATCATTCAATAATAATTTAAAACTAAAGAGAAGTTCCAAACAATGTAAGTTTGAATCACATGTTGCAAAGTGCAATAGGATTCTCAAGCATGGTCCATACTTTCCATAAACAAAGTTCAAAGCTCTATACGTATGGGCCTAGAAAACAAAAAGTTCTAGGACTATTATTATCTGGTCAGGGAAGCTGTAGTGTGATAGAGACATGCTTGGAAGGTTACTGTCAACAGTTCTATGCGTAGCACGTAGTTATAGGTAGTGGTTGGTTACATGTGGTTATCTATTGATGGATGGTGTTATATGCTGTGGGTCTGTGGTCAGTTGTGGGTGGCTATTTTTCTATATTCCTTTACCTCATTTGTTTTTAGGGTGACATGTATGCACATTATTGAAGTGTAGACTGATACTAGTGGCAAGTGAATATTGTTAGGAAATTGCTGGCATCAATTTTCTCTTCTTTGAAGTTGAATTCATGTGGTACACTGGTACTGGACCACAAGCCCAAATTAAGTGTAGGGGCATTAAAAATGCTGTGTAGTGGCAATACCTAGAGCGTCACACACTTCTGCTGATTTTCTTGTATTCTCCTTGGCAAGTTCAATGTATTACTCAAATGCTACTGTACAATTGTATGGCTGATGTACAGCATAGTTTTCATGCAATTTACTCAATTGATATCTCTCTCTCTCTCTTTTTTATTTGGGTGGGTCGGGGGGGAAGGGGGGGGGGGGTTTGTGGTGTGGGAAGATGAGAGAAGGAAGGGAGGGTTGTGGGAGCTTACAGTTATTCTTCCCTGATCTAATTGAGCAAGCCCACAAGTTGATTGTGGCTTTCTATTGTCATTGACATTGTCTTGTAATAATGTGTATTCATGATATGTTAAGGCTAGTTGGGGAAGAGCTTTTTGGTAAAGGACAGGTGCAGGTATGTGCATTCTACAACAGAGGATGAAACCATGTTGTTAGTATGCTACCAGGCGTACCAGCTATATAGTGCCCCCTTTTTTTGTTCTTTTTCCCTTTCCTTTTCTTTTCTTGATACAGCGTTATTGATTCATTTGTTTTCTTCTCGGCAGTTAGGACATGGTGATTTTTCGTCTGCTAATACAAAAGTTCTGCGAATGGTGAATCCTCTGGGGGTTGAGAGTGAGGCTAGACAAACTATAGAAGCCTTACATTGTGAACTTCAGAAGGCTAATGAGAAACTTCAGGTTGTAGAAGAACTAAAGAAACAATCAGGTCCAAACTATATTTACTTAACTTTATTGCATTTTATTCTTGCGATGATTTATATAGTTCCTGAAATTAAAATATAATATATTTTTTTTTTTTTCATATCCTATTCCTTCCTTTGGCTGTCATTTCAATTATTCTCTTTTGTATGTTGCTAAGCTGCTAAAGGATATGAATAACTCAACTTTGGTAGCATTTGAAGCTTTCTATTTTTCAACCATGATTTTCTTATGAATAGTATTTGAGGCAAACAAGTATCCACCATCTGTATCTAGAGAAAGGATCAATTTAATATTGAGGAAACCTTGTTAGCTATGTTGACACTTGGACATGGGTAGGACACTTATTTGACCAAAGTCGTTAAAGTTTGTCACAAAATTGTTGAGTATATATATATATATATATATATATATAAATATGTATATATATATATATGTATATATATATATATATGTATATATATATATGTATATATATATATATATATATATATATATATATATTTGTGTGTGTGTGAGACTTGTGTACCTGAGTCAGAGCAACTTATTGAAAATTTCCCATCAGGTCTCCCTTTCCATGGTATATTACCATGTCAGTCAACAACACAATAAATCCCTTTTTATGGAATAACATATTATAGGTTTCAAGTTCAAATGTTTTAAACTTTGGAAGAATGCATGAGTGCCACGTCATTTGTTGATTCAGCTTAGAAATAAACATAGCATACATGCCACTACTCTTATGTCTATAAAAAGGCTCCTGACACTTGGGGTGTATGGGGCGAGGGTTAGACGCATGCAGTCTGTAATAAGACTCTTTGAAGCTGAACACAAAATTGCAAAGTCTTTTTCGACCTTATCTCTTCAAAAGGAAGGAGAATGTTATTAAACTATTGACTTCCTGACTGTGTATTGCACAAATTAAAGCTTAAGGATTGATGGTTGAGATGGTTGATTTAATAAATTGTAATTGTAAACCAAAGTGTGATTTAGTGAGATAGTTGACTTACTCATTTTACTTTGAAGTTGAAAAACTCAAGTGTTTTTCAATGACTTAGAGAACTAATATTTGCTGAACTTGTGTTTCCCAAACACAATGAACTTGACTTATTTTTGTTAAACCTTAGTGCAAAGCATTACCTGCACCCAAATTCTAGTGCCTGCTAAATGAGTTTTGTAGATAAGGTTTTGTTCCTAGCTGGTCTGTTAGATTTTAAGAGAAACTAATAGATAACATTCATCTCTAGGAAATTTCTTTTTAATTGACCCATTTCTTTTTAGGTAATTTTTATAATGTAATATTCTTATTTACCCTTACTTTAATAACATAAAATTAATTAAAAAACTCCACATTACTCCCTCTATGTTTATGACCCACCCCCTCTCCATGTCCAAATCCCACTTCTGACTCTTCCACTCCACCAGGGCAGTAACCATTCCCATGTTCTTCATGTTTTTCAATTACAACCTCCATCTCCACCCCCTCTCCTTTTTTACCAGCATTACTACGACTGCCACCTTTACCCTCTTATTTAGGGAACTGAGGAAGTATTAGACACTATGTTTCTGTATCATTTGGTGAAATATGTGTTCTCTCATATTGTTTATTGCTTGTTGCTTCATTCTGTCTACTATATGGGTAATGATAATGAAACATACGTTTCTGAAAAGATTCATTAGGGAACATAATAATTTTTTTATGCTTTAGAGTTTGAACTTATGCTTTCTGGGACCAGGGTCTTACCTTGAATGGTTCTGTCAAATGAAAACAGGATTGGACATTTCTCCTTTAATATTCTTTTTACATGGAATTTTGATCCCCTTCCTCCATAAAGATATTGATTCTTTTATCTGGAAAACATTAAACAGCTAGCAACTAGTAAAGCATGAAAATTACTTAGCTTTTTGTATGTTTATTACAGAACTTACAACAAATTATTAAAAGGCTCCTTGATTCCCCCCCCCCTCCCCCAAAAAGAAAAAAAAAAAATCATAATTTATAATTTTGACTGTAACTTTTTGATTGTTTGGTCCATCACCAGAGGAAATGACATTGAATGGTATCCTTTTAACTAGAAACAGTTATAGGGTTATAGGCTGATCTTGGTCCATCACCCCCCGTAACAACAATTGGGAGGGGACTGGAACCTAACCATTCAGAATTGATCCCTGAATCAGGATTAGCCTAAAGGGTGAACCGGGTGGAACACCGAAAAAAAGGCTTTGACCTCCCTAACCAAGGCTATGTTTCAATAAAAATGACTAGAAACAGTTATAGGCTAACCTCCCCAACCAAGGCTATGTTTCAATAAAAATGATTCTTTTGTCTCTTTCACCATTTTTTAGGTAGGCATGCTGATTTTATTTTATTTTATTGTTTTTATTTTGTTTTGCTTTGGGTTATTTATTTATTTTTATGAACGTACTTTGCCGTCTATTGTGCAGCTTCGTGCTTTTCCTAAGAAGATGGATCTTTATTGACGGTGGAGCCGTCTTCAGGAATTAACATTGTTTTGTTTTTTTTTTTTTATTTATCCTTTTTTTCTTTTTATTAAAAAATGTAACAGCTGATGCGGGGCAGCTAGTGGACTCGTATATTTCTGGTAAAATAGTGCAGTTGAAAGAGCAAATAGCAACACTTGAGAAGCGTGAGGAAAGGTCAGGATTAGTAGCTGATTTGCTAGTCTCCAAATTTCCTCATTTACTTACATGTAAACTATTGATCGACCAGGTACAAGACTGTGTTTGCTGATAGAATCTCAGTTTTCAGGAGGGCATGCTGTGAACTTTTTGGTTATAAGGTATATTAAAGGAGAAATTTCCAAAATATCTATAACTTACCAAGTTTCTTAAACTTGGGTACTTGTTTCGGATTACATGTCCATGTGTTCAAGTCTCTAGTGTCTCGAGGATCAAAATTGGTATTTGAGGTGAATTGAAAAGTCCCAAATACCATATCTTGCTAGGAATTAGGTACATATTCTTGATTTTAAATTGTTGAAAATTGAATTTCGTATTATTTTACGATATAAATTTCCTGGCTTATGAGTCCAGCTCCGGGGTCAAGAATGTCAGTCTCTTTAGCGGCCAGTGACAATATCGTGTTAGTGGCTGTGGTTAGCTTTATAATTATCTCTTAAAAAATTACTCCCTCTATTCCTTATTGATTATTCTATTTAGAATCTACACATTTCTCAATCAAATATTGTAACTAACATATTTTAAGTTATGTATTGCACAAATATATAAATATTATATTATTGGAAACTAAAAATTGTGCCTTATGATTGATTATGTTTTGAAATAATTCCTCGGTTCCCTTCATATTGCAACAAGGGGGGAAGACACGAGATTTAAGATTAGGAGAGAGAGAGATAGAAATAAAGATAAGGACCCATGTGATGAGGACAGAGATAGAGAGAAAACATGTGGATATATGGTAATGTTGCAATATTTATGAAACTTCTTTAAATGGTAATTGTTTTAATATTAGGAGAATAGATGAAATATATGTTTTAATGTTTATCCTTTAAATATTAGGTTCCATTTGCATTGGAATTTCCACTGATTTCAAATTAGACAGTTAAATAAAAATGGAGGGAGTACATATATTCATCTTTCTTTGATTATTAAAACTAATTTCCTCTTTCCTTTCTAACATAGTATTATCTTCCGATTGATCAAAAAATAACTTTTTGGTATCGTTTTAGAAAGTGACATATTTGAGATTCAGAGAATGCAAAGATGACTTGGAGAAATTTACTCATCAACCCTTACTTTCTTCTTATAATTTATAATGATAAACAAGTAAATATGTTGTGTTCAAATTCCTACAAATGAAATTCCCAAAATCTCCTTAGGTCTAATTCCTATGGAATACAACTTTGGTTGCTCCTGCAAACAGCAGTTGGAGTAAATCTGTCGCATTAGTAGAAGATGTGTATTACATGCAAGTGTCGTATCAAAGAAACTATGATTGCTAAGAAAAAAATTGATGTGATCGAATGAATTGAAACTGCTAGGAGTGCAAAAGGGAGATACAAAAAAGTGTTCATAGGTTTTGAGCTGAGATTCATTTCATATGTAATTTTGTTCAGATCTAATTTATTAAGTGTGAACATTTGATGAGTCTCATTTGCATCTACTCATACATGATTTGACAGATTGTTATGGATGATCAACATCGTCCAAATGGTATTCCTATAACGCGTTTCACGCTTCAATCTATCTATGCGCAAAGTGATGATGAGAAGCTAGAATTTGAATATGAGTCGGGTAACACAAACATTTTGGTAAGGCAAATTATTTTATGATCTTATAATGTGGAAATAAACAGCTTAATACTTTTATGATATTGTGTATCAAATAACAAGTGAATTTACATGAATAGTGAAGCTCTGACAACTGTCTTTGTATGATATGTAATATTCTCCTGCATACACACTATCTTCTACTATTTTATCAGTAGACTTTAATCTTTCACAAACTTTGTACTCCTGTGACTGTTTTTCAGTTTGATGCTGTATTAATATATGATGTTTGGATCTTGTAGATAAATGACTATGCAAAACAGCGTGAAATATCGCGACAGGTAGATGACAGCTTAAGCATATATAGGTTTTCTCGTTGTATCTTGAGGAACAATTTTCTCTCTTTTTTGTAGGTTGAGATGTTTATTCGAAAGCTGAACTCAATTCCAGCTTTTACAGCCAACTTAACTATAGAGTCTTTCAATAGGCGCACTCTATCATAATGTAAGTTAATATCTCTATTATATTTTAGTAATTCAAGATTTTCATTAATTCGTTCTTTGGGTTATCCCTTGTATTACCAAATCTTGAAAAATAGGTTTGCAGTCACTGAAGGTTGCAAAACTTTTTGATCTTAAAAGATGGCATTGTCTTTTTGCGCTTTTGAGCTGCTAGGATACACTTCACAGCTATGTTGTGCAGTTTGCTGAGCAAATGTAGTATATACCCGTGTATCACAATTCTGAAAAATTTTACCTGTGCTGTTGTGTTACTGCTGTTTAGAAAATCTAATGTGGACTCTGCTTGTATTGGCAAGCTATTTTGATTAACCAGTGTGTTGCATTGCCCAATGTTATTCTATTTAGCAATGAGAAAATTCCATTTTTAGAAAACTTTTGTGACAAAGTCATGTTTTGTTTACTATTTTTTTTAACGGAAATGTTTTGTTTACTTAATTTATTTTCATTTAAAAAAAAAAAAAATTGGGTGTGGCTAGGGGGAATGAGAAGGAGAAGCTGGGCGCTCCTGGTCTTAACAGCCACAATGTGAGCTCTTGCGACACCTGACCTAGAAAATAGTGGAGTAACTTTGATAACCATGTAATATCCCATGCCAAGTTCTGTTTTTCCAATTTCATGGTCGTAGGGTGTGTTATTGCCTTAGTAGCTTTCATGCAGTTTGTTTAGATCTCTATTCCATTCCATCACAAAGGCAAATAGCCTTTCATCTTTGTTTATCGTGCCTGTGTTGCTATGATCCTTTCTGAATGTTGTTTTGGTAGATGACCCATCGTGCATCTCCATTCCATCCTTTGGAATCTTTCCTCCGCTCCCAAGCTCTATCCATGTCAATAATGGTAGGATCATTCCGAGCTACTTGTCCTCAGTTGCTTTAGTTTCAAATCACTTCCTTGCCTCATCTATACGCTCCATATTCTTGTTCGGGTCATGGCTCAAAATGCTCCATAAGGTTGGGAGGAAATCATTTGCACTATTATATGATCTTCATTGTCATTAACATGTATCTGACAAAGATTTAATTTAGCAATTGGGTTCCAAGTTTTGATCAGTACTCTGTCCTTGGTTCGAGCATGGCAAAACTCTTCTAGACACCAGACGATTGGAATGTTTGATAGATTCTCTGGTGAGACTAAGGCTTTTATGATGTTTTAATTTTTTCACCTTAGTATTTAAAGTCCCATAATGCGGGAGTGACTCCATTAATTTACCTTCCACCTAGACATTATGAGGGGCATTTACATTGTTCTTCCAAAATTTTCCAGAAAATATATTTTTGTTCATCACTTTCATTATCCCGAAAGGATACTAGGTGTTATAATCCGACTCCTTTAAATGTATTAGACTCCTTTTAGATGCTTTCTTAGAGTTTACTTTATGTTTTCTAAACTTGAGATCCCATTATTGTGTTACCGTCAGTTCAGTGTTCATTAGGGATTCTCCTTGTAATCAAATTAAAGCTCTTTAGAGCAAAGTTATTAAAATCGGGATTCTACTTTGAATCGGAAAGGGCTATCAGAATCGGATCGTAAAATCTAACGTAGAATCGTAAGATTCTATCGACATGCATAATCAAGACGTCAAATATAAATTTAATTAAATATATTGAAATTATGAGTTTGAAACCTAATTATTGATAGATAATAGTTATTTAACCATTAAGCAATCAATACTTGACAGTATTTATATATAAAAACCTATATAAACATGTTTTTTACTTGTAAGGATTTCGCTAGTTTAGAAAAATATGTAAAATCGGGTAGAATCGTAAATCGAATCGTATGATATACATGAATCGTAAAATCGTAAGATTCTAAGATTTAAATCGGGATTTTTATATCTTTCAAAAAAATAAAAAATAAAAAATAAATCGGGATTTTTATAACAATGTTTTAGAGGGTGAATGATTAATGCAATCTTAAGCTTTCTACCAAGTGTTGCCTTGCTTTTATGCTCGTTTGTTATTAGATCTTTATAGATATTGTGTCTTACTTGCATAAAAGCTCCCCTCCAAACCAACTTGATGCACTAAGAACTCGTGATTCGGACCCGCTTGTGCCCACAGTATTGGCCGTCACAAGCCCCAACCACCCACACCCCGTTGCTTAGATAAATGTGAGTGCTCCTGTGATTTAATTGCCCGCTTGTGTTGCTTTGTGCTCACAATCCCCTCTTCCATTCAAGACTACTGTTCTCGCCGCCAAAAGGCTAGAGAGCGCTATACGTTTCGGGCCCAAATTCCCTAACCGTGACACTAGGGCTTCGCTACCTGATTTTACATAGTTGTTCCCGTTTCCAAAAAGCTCATCATTGTTTTTAGTATAGTAACGGTAAATAAGGACCTCGCCCCCTCTTTATTTTTTTTTTATTATTATTATTTTCTTTTTAATAAATAAGGGTAGATTAGATAAGAGTAAGTAGCCAAAATTACAGCATTAGAGTTCGCTGGGACATCACCAGCAATCAAAAGATTAGTGTTCAATTTCCAACACACTGTCATTACTAAGTTCCTTAATACAAACAGGAGGGGGATTGATCAAAATACAAGTTTGGTGCAACACCTCCAAATGACACCTAGCATATTTAGCTAATCTATCAGCTATTGAATCTGACAATCGCCCTCAAAGCGCAAATCCACATGGTGTGCTTCCGTGAGCAGGTCCCTGCAATTATGTATAGCACTCGGAGTCTTGGAGCATTAGTAAAATGGGTTTTTTGGGTTTGAAGACACAATAACATTACTCCATTCCATTTGTTTGATCCAATTTAAACTCATTTCAATAGCACCAACTTCAGCATCGTGAGTGGATGCTTAAAAACCTTTCCACACTATTCTTTGGATCCAATTTCCGCAATGGTTTCTACAAACAGCAACATACCCTGTCTCATATGAGGATACGAGAACGAGTAAGGAGGCATCACAATTAACTTTTAGAGAGTGAGGAGGAGGAGACCAAGCAACAGGAGAGGGCTTTGGCCTTTCTGAGTAGTTGTTCGTGGAAAAGAACTACTTAGAAGCAGACCAAGTGCATTGGTTGACTGATTTGTTAATGGGAATGCTGGACTTGGATAAAATCCACTCATTTCTTCTTTTCCATAAATGCCATGAGCGAAGCAGAAGTAGACATTCCATGGGGCATGGTTGAGAGATGGTTTGGTGCATTTCAAATTGGAAGCATGCCAGTTTAGCCATTGGAGGGGGTCAATGCTGATTGCAGAAGTAGCTTGTGGCATAGTAGCCCACAGAAAACAGAAGCTCTTAGACAGGTAAAGAAAATATGGTATGGATTTTCTGAAGTTGAAGGGCAAAAGGGGCAAGGAGTAATCTGATGGATTCATTTGTGGAGATTCTTATTGGAAGGGAGTCCATCTGATATAGGAGCTTATGCATATTAATTCTTTTATACAAGTTGTTATTTTTGGCGGGAAAATTGGTTAGGAGCTTTATTTTTGTCGTTTTCCTAGTTTGTTACAAAAGATGCTTTTTGTTGTTTGATTTTGTTACAAGCTGAGCTGTTATAAGGAATTAGTGGTTGTAATAATAAAATCATAATCATAATTACAATCTTATCTCCTCTTTCTCTCTCTCTCTCTCTAACTTCTTCTTCCTCACGTTTCCCCTCTTCTTCTATTTTCCCCTGTTCTTCTGGAATTATTAGTAATCACCAAAACCTCCCTTATTATTAGTGGTATTAGAGCCAGGTTATTGAAGAAAGGTTCCTTTGATTGAGTTGTTGAAGAAAGGTGCCTTTGAGGGGTCTGATTTGGCTTAGAATTCTTTTGTGCAATTGAAAGCTGCCTTGTGTAATGCTCCTGTTCTTGTTGTGCCAGATTTCTTTAAATCTTATGTAGTTGAGACTGATGCATTAAAGGGTGGCATTGGTGCTGTTTTGATGCAGGATAATCACTCTATTGCTTTTATCGAGCTCTGGGCCCTAAGTGGCAGAAGTTATCAGTATATGAAAAAGAGCTGCTTGCAATGGTTTTTGCTGTGCAGAAGTGGGAGCAGTACTTGCTGGGAGCTCATTTCATCATCAAGACTGATCAAGAGCTTAAAATGGCTCTTATAGTAGAAAATTTCAACCCCTTTCCAGTAATTTTGGCTATCAAAGCTCATGGGTTATGATTATGAAATCCAATGTAAAGCTGGAAAAGAAAATTTGGTTGCTGATGCTTTATCAAGGCTCCAAGATGCAAAGATTTTGTTCATGGCAATCTCAGTTGTGGATTCTAACTTGACTCAAGAGATCCAAGCTAGTTATGCCTTGGATGATAATACAACTTCTATTTTAGACAATTTACAAGGTTCAGTCAGTTCTTCATTTTTCCTTAAAGGATGGATTATTGAGAAGAAAGGATAAGTTGGTAATTGGTCCAGATGACCACCTGAAGAAGAAGCTTCTGCAATGGCATCACACTTCTCTAGAAGCTGGCCATTCTGGCAGGGAGCACACTTTGAAAATAATGTAGAACCTTTTCTAGTGGAGGGGCATGACAAGAGATGTCAGCCAATATGTTAGAAAGTGCATTGTGTGCCAAGCTTCTAAATATGATACTGCAGCCAAGCCTGGCTCTTTGCAGCCTTTGCCTATTCCTGAACAAGTCTGGACTGACAATTCTATGGACTTCATTGCTGGCTTGCCTATGTCTATGAACAAGAATGTTATCTTTGTGGTGGTGGATAGATTGAGTAAGTATGCCCATTTCATTCCCCTTAAGAATTGAATCCTTCTATTGCTGTGGATGTTGCTCAATTGTATTTAGACTATGTCTTTAAGTTATATGGCTGGCCTAGAAGTATTGTAAGTGACAGGGATGCTATCTTTTTGAGTCAATTCTGGAAGGGACTCTTTTCTTTACATGGGATATAGTTTCTCTTATCTTCTGCCTACCACCCTAAGACAGATTGCCAAACTGAGGTGGTCAATAGGTGTCTTGAATAAGGTGTATGACAAGCGATTGTCCTAAGGAGTGGTGCTAGTACCTTCCCATGACAGAATGGTGGTACAATACTCATTTCCACTCTGTTACTCAAATGACACCTTATGAGATTGTTTACAATCAGCCTCCTCCCTCGCATCTCCCTTACTTGGTGCAGAATGCTGTTGTTGACAGTATGTAAAAAAGGGAGGACATGATTCAGGTTCTTAAGGGCAATCTTCTTAAAGCTTAGCATAGAATAAAAATTCAAGTTGATAAAAAGAGGTCTGAAAGGGTGTTTGCTTTGAATGATTGGGTTTTGTTGAAGTTGCAGCAGTACAGTAGTAATCTCTGCAATACAGAAGCAACAATAAGCTTGCTGCTAAGTACTTTAGTCCTTTTAAAGTCATTGCTGATGTGGGCAAGGTAGCTTACAAACTTCATTTACCTAGTTCAACTAAGATACTGATGTTTTTCATGTATCTCAACTCAAACCATTCACGGGTGACCTGCCTCAGGTGGCTCAGATTCTTTCAGAGATTGAGCATGATAGTACATGAACTGTCTTGCCTGCTGCCATTATTTAGCATCGGGTATTAGATGTTTCTGGTGTTTCTCAGCAGCAGTATTTGGTTCACTGGCAGAATGCTCCAATTCATGATGCTACTTGGATTTCCAAGGACGATTTTGAGGCTCAATTTCCTGGTTTTTCGTTTGATTGACTTGAGGACAAGTCTCTTAAAGGGGGAGGGTATGATATAGGAGCTTATGCATATTAATTCTTTTATGCAAGTTGTTAATTTTGGCAGGAAAATTGGTTAGAAGCTTTGTTTTTGTCATTTTCCTAGTTTGTTACAAAAGATGCTTTTTGTTGCTTGAGTTTGTTACAAGCTGAGTTGTTATAAGGAATCAGTGGTTGTAATAATAAAATCATAATCATAATTACAATCTTATCTCCTCTTTCTCTCTCTATCTCTAACTTCTTCTTCTTCCTCACGTTTCCCCTCTTCTTCTATTTTCCCGTATTCTTATGGAATTATCAGTAACCACCAAAACCTCCCTTATCACTATCCCATGCAAGTCGCCAAGAAAAGTGACGGATTTTTGGCTGGGTTGGGGCTTTCCAAATAAGATCTTAGTCGAAATTCATGGATTTAGTAGTTTGGTCAGAATGGGAGTCTTACAATTAAATTGAAGAGATGAGTGAAAAAAATCTGATTAGAAATCGAGAAGAAAAAGTCCAACTCCATTTCCTTTTTCAAATTTCTTTTCAAAGACCTAAGCAATTTGCTTGAATGACAGGAAGGAATAGGGCTAATAACAAATTGCCGAAGAGACTTGTTAACTAGCTATGTATCTTTCCACAATTCCATTTTACTCCCTTCGTCCCTTAATACAAACCCTCTTTTGGTTTTTGCGCGGGGATTAAGAAAATTTTAAATTCCTTAAAACTAATGATTAAAAGTACATATGTGCATGTGAAGTTAGAGAGAGATAGAGAGAAAGAAAAAATAGTTGGGAATAATTGAAGAGATAGAGAGAGAAAATATTTTTCTCTAATCAGTTTAGCAGCCCATCCTTTATCCGAATGGATGGTCCAATACAATCTAGCTAATGAAATAACATTTCAAATCAGCATGTTTTAAGATGTCTAGACCCCCTTGTGATTTTGGTTTACACACTTTATCCTAGGCCAACCAAGTGATTTATTTTATTTTATTTTTTTATCATGTGAGCCACCCCAAAGAAAGTTTGAGCACAAAAAATCAAGTTTTGAGCGGAATGATTGAGGGAAATACAAGGTTTACATGAAGTATCTCAAAATGGCCTAGAGAGTGGATTGGATAAGAGTTTTTTTTTTATTTATTTTTTTTTTCCGGCTTCATACAAGTATTCTGATTTCCAGGAAGCTAATTTCTCCCCTACCTTATCAATGATTGATGACGTGGGGAAAACTAGGTCGTTATCTAATCTTCCCTCGGTCAAACTAAATTTATAAACACTTAACAAACCCTAATACGAGTATAGAGGCAAGTCAAGGGTCGAACCCAAAGGAACGGTAATGTTCAAGCACTTTCAATTATGCGCCTAAGCTAGGTCAAAGACTGTAGACACCTAAAAATGTCTCCCCAAAACCAAACCCGATGATGAACAACCTTTCACCGCTATTATTGGTCGGGTTGAGTATTTAATCTTGGAGTGCTTAAATCCATATTTCTATTTCATATGCCAACCCAACTTCTAGCCCATTTTGTCAAACCATAACTTATTTTCCTCTTTTCGTGCCTTTAAACTCAAAATAATTCATTTCGTGTCCTTTAAAATAATTCATTTCGTGTCCTTTTTATAAAAATATTTATCAGTTTATTTTGGTCCATAATCAGGGTCCAATGATTGAATAGTTGGATGGGGCTTTAAAATAGCTTTCCAAGGATATATTATAAGCCCAAATCCGAGTTATAACGAATAAGTTATGGCCAAAATATTAAACTGAGCCCAACCGAACCTAAGCCCACCTTACCTACGACCCAATGATCATGTGGAGGGTCCAAATGATTTAATCCAATTCCTAAACCAATTAGGATTAATTAGAAGCTTCTACAAGTTTCTAAAAGATCTTAATTATCCTTTTTGAAAAGATAAGATTAAAGAGTTTGAAATTGAATAAAACTCCTTTTTTTGAAAATCCTAATTCTATCCGAATTGAAAGACATTCAAAGATAGAAAGATATTATTTTCGTGATTCATATTTTTTATCCAAATTTTACATGGTTGGATAGACCTTTAAATTATCTTTCCAATGATATATTATAATATCAATTCCGAGCTATAACGGAAAAGATATGAATAAAATGTCAAACTCTATCCAAAACTGATATCGTCTCACTATTTCGGCCATATCTTTTATTCTATAAAATATTTTTAATCTGATTTTAATTGGGTTAGAACGTAGACTTCAAGAGCGTTCCAACAATATCTTATTCATCTTATTCCCATTTCTAGATCAAAAGATATGATAAAAACAAAACCGCAAAAACTGCAGCCTATCGAGTTTTATTCCGATTTAATTCGGATCTTATCTTAATTTTTTCGACCCTTCTTTTTTCTCTATAAATAGAGGTCATATCTCCTCTTTTTCAATCATCAAAAAGCTTGATCATAAAATAATTATTTTCTCCCTGTTTAGCCTAAACACTAGCCTCCCTATTCTTTCATAATACTTCCCCTAAGCACTCCAAGGAGTCCATATAATACCCAAAGTTCTATACTTAAATCAAGGCGTCAAAGGTATAATTGACTGAGGGTTTGGACCAAATAAACTCTACTTTTAATTTGATTTATATTTTAATTGAAGTTACTAACAGTTTATTCATGATGTAGCAATTTAAAGGAAATGCGGAAAGTGAGTAATTAATCACTTAATTACTCTTATATTTATTCTTGTTGCTAGTATCATGATTAGGGTTATTTTATATTTGATTTGACTAACGCTATTATGGTTAAATTGCTTCCAATATTAATGTTTATTTTATTATATTTATTGATCGCCATATTGCATATTTAAAGGGAATATGTAATTGAAAATCACGCCTAATAAGATAATTTGGATGACCGGTTTAGGTTCCTTTTTAATCTTGTTGTTAATCAAGTGATCACTAATATTTTAGAATTATGTTGCATTAATATTCAACCAATTTAGCATAATAATAGTTTAGAGCAAATTGAATCTCTGTTTGTATGCCTTTGAGATCGCAGGAATCACTTTTCACTATAAAAATCGAGTAGAGGCCAATACGGGCGAATGTGACTCCATGACTCACTTCGTACCATCATCCCCGATCCTCCTTTCGTGGTTTCGAACCATATGGAGTTAGTAATCTCATGGATTATGAATGGGGTGTAACCTTCACGGGTCAATCATTGTTGCCTTCGTTGTCCCTTAATCGTGGTTGCCTTAAATGATCCGTGAACGGTTTACAAGTTCCTTAAAAAACTTGTTGGCGGCTCCCTACTTTCCTTGTCCCTAATCGTATTATGTCAATTCCCACATCCTATGAGTGCCAAGCATATTCACAACATGCTTTAACGTAGGCGCACTTCGAACGATGCCTACAAAGACGAAGGTAAGAGATAATACTAACAACTAACAAAACAAGTAACCAAGGAAATAAAACACTAGGAATGGGGATCAACAAGTAATCATATCAATTGCAACAACTTGGAAAGATCAAGTCAATCAAAGGTTGTGAAGACTAATGATAAGAGCAATCAATTGGAATCAAAGAGCTATCTCCTAATTGTTAAGCTAGGGTTTACTATGAATAACTAACTAAGAGAATCACAATAAAAACCAATCAATAATTGCAATTACTAAATCATTTGTTCGTGTCATTAGCAATTACAATGCAATCTAGCATAATTCTTGAGGCCTAATCGAATAACACACATGCAAACCTTCATTAATCACTTTAATCTCAACAATCAATTAACACAATTCCCAAATTAATCACAATTAATCAATCATACAAGTTTCACCCAATTCCTAGCCAACAACTACTTTAACATCATCATCTAATCAACAATCAACTAAAGAAATCAAGAATTCACAAAATATCAAGAACAATTACACTAAACAAGCATTAAACATCAAAATCAATTCAAACAAACATGAAATTGAATAAAGCAATAAGGTGAGATAGAGTTAAGAATTCTCATTGATAATAGAGAAGATCTTGAACAGAATTGTCACACTTGTATCTTCAATCTCTCAATCACCATTGAAATCCCTCACTTTCTCTCTCTAAAACTACTCCTAAAGTAGCCTAATCTAGAAAGAGAAGCTCTCAACCTAAGAGAGAGAAAACTATTCTAAAACTAAGAATTACATGAATTGAATCCTAATGAAAACCCAAAAACTATCTATAAACAAAAGGAGAAAAGAAGCTTAAAATCGTAAAAGACCCGGAAGCCCACGCCCTCGGAGAAATCGGCCGCGCCCGCAGAGGGGAACGAACACCTTGGAAGCCACGCCCGCGGGGAGCCCGTGGCCAGCCCTCGTAGACTTACTGCCCAAAATCGACAGTTTTGGAGTGAAGCAACCCCGCGCCCGCGGCTGCAAGGCAGGGCTGCTGCGAGCAAGGTGCGTGGCTGCTGCGCTTTTGGTGCGTGGCTGCTGTGCCCTAGATGCGTGGCTTCTGCCTTGGGGTTCGTGCTTGCGAGGCTTGCTCGGTTTGGCTTGACTTGCATGTTTGGCTTCCTGAACTATGCTCCGCTGACTTCCTTGAATGCGCTTGAGCTTCCTTCGTGATGATTAATCCCGGGAAGCTCGACACACCTACAAAACAAGTCAAACAAATGGAGAAGCGAGGGAAATAGCCGAGAAATGAATAAAATAATAAGAAAACCATTAAAAGAGCGCGTTTCTCTAAACTAACACACAAACATGCAAATCAAGCATTATTCCCTAAAAACACGACATAAAAGACTAAAAACGAACATAAAAATACGTAGAAAACCTATCCTAAGAGTGCCAAAAATGGCACGCATCAATTGACTGCAGATGTTTTTTTGTGGGCTTTTTGGAAGTCAGTGGAAAGCCCAAATACTTCCCGAGACCTGGAATTACAGTAAAATTGAGAGTCTGCTGGAACTCATCAATCATTGATTGAGAAGTATTATTAGAAAAGAAGATTGAGCTCTTATCCTCATTCATTCGCTAACTAGAAATGTGGAAAAAATCATGAAGAGTGGTAGAAAGAGAGGAAAGAGTTTTTCAATCAGTTTGACCAAACATAATCACATCATTTGCGAAGAGAAAGGTGTGAAATTTCAGTTGTCCTACCTCTAAATTTAAAAGGGCTCTAGAGTTTGGCTTGACATTAATCATGATTTTTTCTTTAGAGGAACTCCATACATAGAAAGAAGATGTATGGCAACAAAGGATCCCCTTTTCTTATCCCTCTTGAAGGGTTAAAATTTTGAGAAAGTTTGCCATTGATGAG